CTGTCCCAAGCCCGGTAAGCTTTGCCTGATTACTGGCTCACTTGTGGCCTCGAAAACCCATCACGTTCATATACACACTGTAGACTTCGTAATCCCGATATTTCAACAGCGCTTACTGTCCTCACCCTCCCACCTGATCAACAGAAGTCTCTCCTACCGACAATCATTAAAGACACATTCACCGTTGAGAAACCCCTTACCGTGACACAAGTGTGGAGTGCATTACTTGACATGAACCATGCGCTGCGCGAGCGGTTACGAATGTGGGAGATAATACCTCTCGAGTGGTCGAATTATCGAATAGGTGTGTGCGTCCACATGACGTTGTGATGGGTTTTACCAAACAACGCTAGATAATGGACGTGTATATTTCGTTGCAGAGAATCTGTTCACAGCGTCTTTTGGTCTGACAGGAAGCGAAGCCGTCGATACATGGTTCATCATCGACATGAAGTTTCTCATTGGCGCTGGAAATGCTCTGACTGAGAAGATAGCCTCGAGTAAGCCCTCTTCCCTAGCCCCATCATCATCGCTCACTCTTGAATTAATGTTGTCGTAATGTGTAGCGTTTCCACAAGAGCCACCACCGCATTTATGGGCTCAGATATTACCAGGCATCAATGCGCAACTTATGCTAAATGCTCAGCCTCCGTCAGCACCTGGAGCAGTACCATCAGAGAGTGAATCAGTAGCAGCTAAAGAGGAAGAATCGCGGCCTGCCGCTGTTACTGCCACCGAGAAACCCCCGAATGAAAGGAGTAGGGGTAGTGAAGAAGTGGTGGTGGATGCCCCCCTTGTCCGAGCGTTTAACTTGCTTCGTGAGTTTTCCCTTTTCGCCAGTTCCGTCATTTATTCAGAGGTGACTTGCGTCCGCAGAGATGCTTTCGCTAACGTATGAGTTAGAGATTTTACTACACCAGGTAAGGAACAATGGTCATCATTCGATGTTTACCATTCAAGTTATATTGATTGAATGACCCCGATCGCTTGAAGGCTGAGCAATTGCGAAACCTTGGATGGAGAGATTATCTCAATATTGATCTAAGTCAGGATCGAAGAAAATTTGTCCTTCGATACTGGTTGTAAGTCCAGAAATGTTTAGATCCTTTCTGTACCATTTCACGTACACGAACTAGACGTACAACCCCTTCCCCCAATACCGGCACCCAAAGGCCCCCCCTCAACAACAACAGCAGACACCACCCTCTTCGCCGCCGATGTATGGTGGAGTGGTCACGATCTCCATTTCCAATACCCCTTCCTCATCTATCCCGAACACTCTCCTTCAATATTCGAATCCCCATGTCCTCGAACTTGCGAGAACCTTGGAAGAACGATGCATGCTGGAGGCATTGCGATCATCGTCGTCGTCGTCGACATGGCTGGGAGGGTCGTCCGGCACGACAGCAAGTGACCATGGCACCAAGGCCTTTATACCAAGCGACCGGGTAGAACGGGTTGCGCTTACAGTACGGTGGGAGTCCGCGATTGGTGCATTGGCGATAAGGATTCCACCTTTCTTTCTCGAGTCTGAATCGGAACATATCACAGTCGTAAGTGGTCTTTCTCCATAAGCTGCTGCCATTTCTCATTGATTAACAAACATTCTCACCAGGATGCAACCAACTTGGATTGTGAATCTATCATCAAATCTGCTGCGCGGAAGCATGCCAGAGCGATTTTGCGGTTTTTCCAGTTCCAGATTCAGAATGGTCCATGGAGGAGATTCGTGATTGACCGAGAGGAAGCTGTCTTAGTGGACGACGGTGAGTTACCTGTCTTCCTATTATATCTGTCTATCGGAAGCGTTGATTGTACCCTGCCCAATGACTTCTGTGCTGTCGATTTCGCAGACGAAACTCCAACTTTGAAATTGACGCTATTCAAGGGGCGAGTCCTGCACATCTCGATTGACCTCCGGACAGGGCGTTTCGTTTTTCGAGATTCGGGTGATTTGGCGGCCTGGGAACGGGGCTACAAGTTCGGACAGTTCGCTGAAGTAGTGAATGCAAATCCGTCCGCGATGCTTGAAGTCATAACACGTTTACGTTTCAATGTGAGTTTAGTTTTTTGTGCGGCCCAGTTCAAGTTCTATTAAAAACTGATTACTATATAGGCCATTACGGAGACGATTGAGCAGCAGGTTAAGTACCTCGGGCTTCAGTCAAGTCGCCAGCCAGGCTTTGCACGTAATGGTGAGTGTAGCTATGCTCCCCCTGTATCCTTTGCTCTGAATTTCAACAATTCTTTTCCCAGAGATGCTGAAGCTGTCTTCGGGCGCTGCTTTCCATGTCTTCATCAAATTGACGAACTTCCCCTCTCATTATATCGTCATCGTCGTGTCGGAAGAAGGTTGCAAATATGCTCTGATCGACACGAGATTGGAGATAGTAGAGAACAGAGAACGGCTTGTTATCGCCGACCTTGGATGGCTGGACCCGGAGAAACTTGGACTCGGACCGGTTCCAAATGAGTTAGTGACTTTCCCTTTCCCAAGTGACCCACGCCGCATCTCCAACCACTTACTTGAATTGTTCAGTTTTACTGTTCGCGCTGATGTGCTTCAGGAACTCTATGCGTTCGGGTGGTACGTAGGGTGCTGTCGTGGTCGTACATTGCAGTGCCACTGATGTCGGTGTTTTCTTTTTTTCTGGTTCAGTGCGAGGGTTTCGCATACGCGGATCGAGCAGCAGCTGAAATCCCGGGGGATACCTTATATGCCGATATTTCCGAAGATTTTACCACCTGATCCTGAATCGATGGAGGTGCATCGTCACCGAGCTGTGCCTGTCATCCGAGTTACAGCACGGGATATGTGGCCGACGCCTGGTGTGAGAGGGCCTGAGGTGTCAATGGCTAATATCAAGATTTCTGTGATGAACTGGTGGACATCAAACAAGGCGAAGGTGCGCACGCATTCACTGCGTCATTCTTTGTTCTTCCCACGTTCCAATTCATATTCTACGGTAGGTTATCACCGAAGTTAAGCTGCGATCACCCCCTCCACTGGCCTTCAACACGTCTAGACACAGACCGTCGACAGTGTCTGGGCCAGGCTTAAGTCCTGGTTCACTGGTGTCGTACGATCCACGGAGTTCCGTCCTGTCTTTTGTCTCTGGCGAAGCAGACAATGCTATAGATGAATTTTTGTCGGAATGGGATCGCGTGGAAAAGACCCTTGCCATTGCTCGACATGTCGCCGAGATGAGCCGACAGAAGGAGTACGAAGATGTCCAATTGCTATCATTCAACCTCCTCGCTATCGAGTTCACGTACCATTCCGTAGGTCTTTTGGGGGGCCTTTTTCTCTACTCTATTCACTCAATATTCCTTTGCTCCCCCACTAGGATTACGTTGGCCTCATCGAATACAACCCTCCCTCACTCTTACCCGAACCCGGGGCTGCGCCGTGCACCTTCAAAGTATCCTTTTCTCGCTTATCCCCTCTCCCTTCTCGCTCGCACGGGTCACGCGGGGAAGCAGTTCGCCTTGCACCAACTGATAATCCGCATCAACAACTCGAACCATATCTAGCTCCGCGTATTATTGAAGGCGATCAAGAGCTGACAAGGAGCGCGGTTCAGGAGTTCGTAATCGTAAGTTCCCGCTGCTCAAAGAATGCAGGTAATTATTGACATAACGAATGGTTTCCTAGCTTCTGCGTTCTACGTTGCCCCTGCTACTAGAGCTGGAAAGCATCAAGGATGAATGTAACGTTTCTCGCCGAGCACATCCGTCTTCCCCCCTCGTCACTGTCGTTCTGAAAGGTGCTGCATGGTTTAGAATCATGTATAACATGATGTAAGCTCCCGCCATGCGTTGTGATGTGACGTTGACAACTTGCTCCTTTGTACGTCCGTAGTCACGCCCTTGACATCCGAATGCTGGCAGGTGGTCACGTTGCTCTCCTCGATGCCTCGTTTTCCTTCTACTCTCCAACCGCCTATAATGCCGACCTCTCCTCAAAGTCCTCTTCCGCTCTCCGACCTATCCCTAAACTCGGTCGTCTAGTAGATGAGGTCATTAGTGCTCTCTCTAAGGACCATGCTACTCGAATGCGCTTGTCTAACAATGGAACCGATCGATTGCCTGTCATTTTCAATGTCGGTTCCGGTCTTCGCTGTGGGAACGCATTGGCACGCATCGCCCTACATCACTTACATTCGACCATCCTTGAGGCACTCCATGAGGGATCATCCTAACTCCTATCATTCAAGTATCGCCATATGCACGAAATTGTCCATATTCTCATCACCATTCGCATTTTTCGTATGACATCAGCATGAAACCATACATTCTCACTCTGTATCTTTATTCAACTTTGCACTTTGGGTATTCGTTCAATGAGTTACATACAAATTATTTCGTACATTCGCTTTCACATACACCCAACACTCGCTTGCGCTTCAGTACTGCCATTAATTGCCCAAAATTCGTGCCATGTCTTTATATGATGTGATCCACGAATGGATCCTACTATACGTCTCATGCTCATCATTTCCAACTTGGTGGTCGGATTAACAAATGTCCAGCAAACTACATTATAACTTGCGGACCTGGCCGTCCTCGGACTTTGCCGTAAGGCAAGACAGCCTCTGACTTCGTAACAATATATAGACCCCTTGCAAAGTACAATGGGATCAGCTTCAAGTACGTACGTTCAGTTGGTGCGTGGCGCATCCTCAAATTTTGATTCAGTTTCCTTCTGATGGCTCTAGAGAATCCCAACACATGCAGCGCCGCAGACCGAAGCCCCACTCACAAGAAACGATCGACACGATTAACGAAACCGTACACACGAATCATTCTCATTAACAGCCCTTGCGAATAATAGCATGACGCTGCAAGTAGCAGGGATATGGTGGAATCGAAATCAGTCCAGTCAAATAGCTGATCATCTGCATCGATTCGTAGACTGCCCCTGGTGGACTGAAGAACACTTGCCTCGTCGTCACAGTCTACTACATGAAATTCAAACAGGGAGGCAGACGTCTTCTAGCCTAGATTTGAAAATGATTCGCTTGGGATTGGCACCAGTTCTGAGGAAAAGCGTCGACGTTCAAAGTGATCAAGTTATGGCTCGGCCCTGGGGCTCTATCCGACCGAGGAGCGATCCAGCTGGCCGGAGGCAGCTCGTCAGACCCTCCGTAGAACGGGGCAGAGGCTTGTGCGAGCGTCGGCTGTGAATTGTATCCCGGCTGGCTGGAGCGCTGCCGACGTGGATGACTGGAAAACGGTGGCCATGGCGCAGATGTAGCACGCATCGCCTCTGGCTGGTGCCCACCCTGACGCTCTTGATGCGTTAGGAGGTTGGTTGAGGGAGAGTCATAATTTGAATAGGAAAAGCCAGAACTTAGTCCTGGGCCACTATTCGACTGGGGAGCAGGGGAGTAGGCTGGCGGAAATCCCTCTGGGGGTGCATGCAATGAGACAGACGCTTGCATGGACATCGGAGGGGGAAAACCGCGCAACGATGAAACGGGTGGATGAGCAAGATGAGGTCGATGTGTCATAGGAGTGAAAACGGGGGGATCGTTAACATGCATTGCCTGTAGGTGATGCCCATCTTCGCAAGGATAGGGGTTGCTTGGGACCAAATGGGCAAAGCCAGAACCTGACCGCGGAATGCTATTTAGCTGAGCACAAGTTTGGACAGGCGCTTCTATGGAGCCACGCGATAATTGACCTAAAGGCTCTGATCGAACTGGCGATTGTACGGATAAATGGCCGGATAAGGATAGGCGGTCCACAGAGGTAGGAACGTTATCTGGAACGACTAAGAACGTGCAAAGCTTGATGCCCGGAAAATGACTCACGCCCAGTGACCGGCCTCGCAGGCTGCTGCTGCATCAACACTATCCTAACGTAAGAGATGAATCCCAGGTCCTAGAGCCAAGCCAAAAGAGTCAGTGCATAGGCCGGGGAATATGAGAACCACAACTGCATACCTTATACCACCCTTTTCGTTCCTCGCCGTATCCTCCACAAATATAACCTTTCTCGTTACAACGATCACACAGCCATCCCTCGTCCGGAGCCATTGGGCATGCTTCATGAGATTACATTAAATCCAAGCGCCGAGAGACGGTATGACAACCTTACCCTGTCTAAGTATCCTGCAGGGCCAACAACCAGGAACGCCGTGGCGTGGCATTTGGAGATATGAATCAGTGTTGATGAAGATGCGCTCCCGTTTGTAGGTCTAATATACGAGGGCCATGCAGCGATACAGTCACCAGGTGTAAATGCGGCATTCCAAGTAAATGGGGGGGAGTCGCGGCCGCTATCAGGCATGATCGCTAACCATGGAATGCAACGGACGCATAACTTCGCATGGGGAGGCAGTGTGACCGCACGTGTTTGGGCCGCTGCGAGTAGCTATGATGCTTCTCCAGGAAAGGCTAAGGGATTGAAGGTACGTATCTGTGCCTACCGGCGTATGCCGTGCTAAAACTGGGGGAGCCACCTTGACCTCGCGTGGTATGCCCTAAAGAAGAACCAATATGAACAAGGTGGGAAAGTCGAATTGTGGTCGGGGAGTGATCTTGCAAGCAAGGTAATGACACGGGTGAGAGATGTTTGGGAGGTTGGGATGCGGCTGTTCTCGAAGGGTGTGTAAAGTGAAATGAAGAAATAGATGCATGCATGCATGATGTCCTCCTTATCTGCCTGGGGAAGAAGTCCCAGTGTCTTCACCTCACGTAGGCGAAAGAGGACAGAACAACATCAACGAGCGTGGTTGAGTGTTTTGTGGACGAATCTGTGAAGTTTGCAGCACAATGGAGGCGGAATGGATGTTGGTCGGGTGTCCAAAGATCTTGGTAGATTCATACTAGAATTGTTTGATTTGGAGGCGGTCAAGGGGATGGGACAATAGCGCTCACTACGAAGGAGAGAAGGCGGTGATGTCGACAAAAGCCACCTGTTGGGGTTGTGCACAGTGACCCAACCTCCGACAACACGGAGCACACAGAAATATTGAGTGAGGAGGGGTTAGGCAAGACTCCAGGTCATTTTATAGTACACGCAATGCGTACAGCCCGCGCTTCAATTTAGACGAACAAAAGCTAGGCCAAAAGTCGTGTGATTGTCCAAAATGGCAGCAAATAATCCATGTCGCCGTTTTTGCTGTAAATTCAGTTCTAACAATTCAGACTTTGACCACAATTCAGTGAGGCGATTTAGTTCCATGCTTGCACCACACCTATGTTGAGTATGACAATATGACAATAAATTCGGACAACTCCGCTACAATACACCTAAGGTCATAACTGAAAAGCTAGACCTCGTTGACCGAACACCAAGAAACAACTCGAAGATCAAACTCGGCGATGAACCAAACCACCACCAGCTGCCTTCTGAACATGCCTCCATATACGACCATCTGGAAGTGATGGGAAATCCCGCTTTAACAACGGAGTATGGCCCAAAAACCATCTATTCCACCCATTGGGCCAGGATAAAGCGGGATTATCAGATAGGAGTGAAGGAATTGCCTGACACACCCTGCAACGAACAAGTAAAGGGATGTCCTCCAAAACCTCTTGTGACAAACGCGCGATGTCAGCCAAAGTGAGTATGCTATATTGGGTACAACAGCTCAGCTGACAGAAATAATGATCATTTGACGTGTCTGGTGGCTGCACGAGGGAAATATTTGTAGGCTGATGTTTGATTTTCTGGTGGTTGAGTCATCATCCATCCAAATTGGATATCCTGCGCTAGCTCTAAGCCGACTCAGCAAAAACTCCTTGCCGGTGAGAGAAACGTTGGTTGTTGCCCGAAATAACGATAATTTGTCGACGATTCGCAGTCAGATGTTCAAATGGGAAACGGTAATTCATTTTGATGTTGCAGACAGTTTTCCGGGAAGTGCCGGACCAACACTCCCCTCTTTTGGAACACTTGTACAAAAGAGGATCGGTCGCAACGCGGGCGCCGGTAACGCCTGTAGGGACATCACAGTCCATCAGCTATCGTGCCCCTCTCGCACCTGCGCACGCATCAATCTAACCGTGATATGCGCTTTGAGAAGCATTGCAACGAGGCTAGAATTGAAACACAGTCCATGAGCGCAATTTCTGATAAGCTAGTGGCTGCTTCGGCTAATAGTTGAGGATTCTATGACCGCTATGCGCCAATTCACAGCGGCATGCAAAAACAATGGTGGGATGAGCGACCCAGACAGTTGACTATTTAGGAAACTGGTAGATCATCATCATTTATTTGCTGCGTTTGGATAATCACATGACCCTCCTATCCATTCATTCCGGCCCGACTTTCTTTGACATAACGGGCCGCTTCAGTCAATAGCAGCGGATTATATGTCCACTATGCGCCAAACTGGATGTATAATTGCTACCATCCCGGCTTGTCAGTATCACAACATTTCCGACCCACGCTCAACAACACTAGACAGCGAGGACGCCAGCACTTTTATGGGAAGATGGACCAGAAGGTCGGTGCGCATGCGCGTGCTAGAAGCAAGGACCCCACGCCGTCGCCACAAGGCATAAGTTCCCTATCAACGCACGCATGGAGCGGCATCACGCATGGCGAAATCACCGCATGGAGCGGCCTGCTCAGAGCGTGGTTAGCGGCGGTTTGGGGAATTTGGCAAACCCCCCAGCCTCGTACAGTTTCTGGAAGCGGAATTTCAATTTCAAATCTCTACTTGCATATAGGAACACCTCAAAGGGGCATGATGAGCTTTTAATTTCGAACACTCTGTCTTTTTTTTTCATGCGCTGTGATAAATGCTTGCCCTGTAATGGCGCACCTCATTTCATATAGTTACCTGATGGACAAGTTGATCACTTGTCCGTTTATAACAAGCTAGGATGAAGCATTACTTATGCTATGTGGCCTATCTGTTCTGTGATCGAGAGTTTTGCACTGGCGGAATTTGTCATTATATCTTTTGTGTTCTGTGCCTTCCGATGAGATCGATAGCTTTGTATCTGATCTTACAGTAGAACTGACTCTGCTTGACTCTGCATGTCGCTATAGTAGCGTGGCGGAGAAGTACCTCTTCTAGCTCAGGGTGGAGACCGAAAGTGCGACCGTCTCTTCATGACTAGGTCCACCCGACAGCTTCTACTAACACCTTCGTACAATACGTATTGCAAGCGAACAGGATTCTCAGCCTAATAACTTGAAGCCGGGGCCCGGAGTAGTCACGCACCCCCTCACGTCTTGATCACACCTTCCCGCCCGGTGATTCAATCTGGTTGGGCACGGAAAGCCGGAGCAACTTGGTCTCCGGAGATACTGGATGTTGGCGGTTCTACGGGCGTTGTTAATGTGCACACGTTTCGTGCTGCAGCAATGACTCATACAGCCTAGCTACCCTTGGGGTTGCCGTAAAGGGATAAAACCCATCTCCATTATATCAAGGACTAGTTCGATTGACTATGATAAGTTGTGCTTATGATGGCTTCTCCAGAGCTTTTATAATGATTTTCTGTCTACCTGAGCCCTCCAGTCACCGATAGTATGGAACGCCACTATACTGTTAAATTTGCACTCTAGGATTTGCACACGTTTCCAGCAGTACATTTCTCTCGACTGTCACTATCCATCCAATCGCAAGCATCATTAGGTATCTATGTCCATAAAGGCAACTAGACAAGTAGTGTAGACAGGAATATGAACGACCATGCATATAGTTTAATGTAAGACTTTCACGGTCTCCTCGAGAGGTTTAAAATCCTTTTCAGGTGCCTTCCAGCCTTCAGCAGGAACTCCAACCGGCTGCTGAGAAATCAAGCCTATATGAATTACTCGTTAGCAATCCCGAACATCTTCCCGAAAAAAAATTGTACTGACTCCACTCTTGGGGTATGTTATACACTTTCTTGACTTCTGCCTCGATCAGGTTAGAGTAATGTTGCAAGCTAGCACCAAGTCCTTCCTTCTCTAGGGCAACCCAAACGTTGGATTGGAGCATCCCGCTGGATTGCTGAGCCCATGGCGCAAAGTTTTCTGCGTATGTTTTGTACTGTTCTTCGAGTCCCTTGACAACTTTTGTGTCGATGAAATACAGGATCGTGAGATAACCCGCCTATAGTAAGGGAATGGGAGAGTAAGTCTTGTGGTTGTGTGGGAACGGGAAAAGGAAGGGACAACTAACCTGGAAGGAACGCACTTTCCCCACCGTTCCTTCGAATTGCTCTGGAGGAAGTATTTTCTTTAAAGACTTGGCGACGATGCCCCAAAGCCTCATGTGGTTCTCTCCAAAGAGGACAATAGCGCGGTTCGATTGAGAGTTAAATGAAGTGGGAGTGTGTAAAACTGCATCGACAACGCAAGTGAATTAATCGGGTCATCCTGATGCAACGAAGAGATGTTGACATACCAGCATGCTGAACTATCTCTACAACACGTTCGTCCGGTATTGAGGACTTCCTCGTCAGGGCGTATACACTCCGACGTTCAGCGATAGCATCGAGGAACTTATCAGCTGGTCCCCCGACTGGTTTGACGCGTGTTGTCGCAGCGGTTTGGTCTTTGACAGATTTGGTCGAGGGGCCAGAACATCGCTTCCAATTAGGCATTTTCAGCTACGACTTGTCGAAGTTGATATGAGGCTAAGGATATGTGGTAGAGCGAACTTAAAAGCTTGAGAGGGGTCACTGGCTTGACTGACCGGAGAGACCTCGAATCTACTCACCTTATATATCCCATCGATTCCTATCCTCGGGAGCGATTCCCTTAGAAGCTTACAATCTACGGCGTGCATTGCCTGGATGATTTGGTGGCCAAAGAGTAATGGAATTCAGTTCTTACCTAAAGTCTTTCACATCACCATTTGGACTTGGCTTGAGATTGAATTGACAAATACTTGCTGACACTCAGTCTATTGGGAAAATGACATAATCGCTCTTACGTGATGTGTTTAGGAGTGTTCTTTGCATCCTTATTCGCTTCACACTCTGACAGCAGAATAGTCGCTATGAAATCTAACATTTGTCTCTTAGTTCCCAACCCTAGCCCGAGCCCCGAGCGGCCCCGCTCCGGAAAGCGATGGCCCCCTACAAGC